TGTGCATAGGAGGTGAGCTAGAGCACCACAAACCCCTCCCCTCGCCGGCCAGAGAAAAACAGAGCACTGGAGTGCTCTGCTCGCGGGCGAGGGTATATATAGGCACCTCATTGGTCCCGGTTTGTGGCAAGAACCGGGACTAAAGGGGAGCCTATGGTCCCGGTTCAGGCCACCAACCGAGACCAATGGTGGTGGGCCAGGAGCGAGGCCCATTGGTCCCGGTTCGTCCCACCAACCGGGACCAAAAGGTCCAGACGAACCGGGACCAATGGCCCACGTGGCCCGGCCGGCCCCCTGGGCTCACGAACCGGGACCAATGCCCACACTAGTCCTGGTTCTACACTGAACCGGGACTAATGGGCTGAGCCGGCCTGGACCATAGCCCTGTTTTCTACTAGTGGATCTAGATTATTGACTCTAGTGCAAGTGGGAGACTGAAGGAAATATGCCCTAGAGGCAATAATAAAGTTATTATTTATTTCCTTATATCATGATAAATGTTTATTATTCATGCTAGAATTGTATTAACCGAAAACATAATACATGTGTGAATACATAGACAAACAGAGTGTCACTAGTATGCCTCTACTTAACTAGCTCGTTAATCAAAGATGGTTATGTTTCCTAACCATGGACAAAGAGTTGTTATTTGATTAACGGGATCACATCATTAGTTGAATGATCTGATTGACATGACCCATTCCATTAGCTTAGCACCCGATCGTTTAGTATGTTGCTATTGCTTTCTTCATGACTTATACATGTTCCTATGACTATGAGATTATGCAACTCCCGTTTGCCGGAGGAACACTTTGTGTGCTACCAAACGTCACAACGTAACTGGGTGATTATAAAGGTGCTCTACAGGTGTCTCCAAAGATACATGTTGGGTTGGCGTATTTCGAGATTAGGATTTGTCACTCCGATTGTCGGAGATGTATCTCTGGGCCATCTCGGTAATGCACATCACATAAGCCTTGCAAGCATTGCAACTAATGAGTTAGTTGTGAGATGATGTATTACGGAACGAGTAAAGAGACTTGCTGGTAACGAGATTGAACTAGGTATTGGATACCGACGATCGAATCTCGGGCAAGTAACATACCGATGACAAAGGGAACAACGTATGTTGTTATGCGGTCTGACCGATAAAGATCTTCGTAGAATATGTAGGAGCCAATATGAGCATCCTGGTTCCGCTATTGGTTATTGACTAGAGACGTGTCTCGGTCATGTCTACATTGTTCTCAAACCGTACGGTCCGCACGCTTAAGGTTTCGACGACGGGTATATTATGAGTTTATGAGTTTTGATGTACCGAAGGAGTTTGAAGTCCCGGATGAGATCGGGGACATGACGAGGAGTCTCGAAATGGTCGAGACGTAAAGATCGATATATTGGACGACTATATTCGGAAATCGGAAAGGTTCTGAGTGATTCGGGTATTTTTCGGAGTACCGGAGAGTTACGGGAATTCGCCGGGGAGTATATGGGCCTTATTGGGCCATACGGGAATAGAGGAAAGAGGCCAAAAGGAAGGAGGCCTGCGCCCCCCTCTTGTCCGAATTGGACAAGGGGCGCAGCCCCCTTTTCCTTATTCCTCTCCCCCTCTTTCCCCTTCTCCTACTCCAACAAGGAAGGAGGGAGTCCTACTCCCGGTGGGAGTAGGACTCCCCTTGGCGCGCCCCCTCCTACGCCGGCCACCCCTTCCCCTTGCTCCTTTATATACGGGGGCAGGGGGACACCCCATGACACACAAGTTGATCTTCGTGATCGTTCCTTAGCCGTGTGCGGTGCCCCGCTCCACCATATTCCACCTCGGTCATATTGTAGTGGTGCTTAGGCGAAGCCCTGCGACGGTTGAACATCAAGATCGTCACCACGCTGTCCTGCTGACGGAACTCCTCCCCGAAGCTTTGCTAGATCGGAGCCCGGGGAGCGTCATCGAGCTATACGTGTGTCAAGAACTCGGAGGTGCCGGAGTAACGGTGCTTGGATCGGTCGGATCGGGAAGACGTACGACTACTTCCTCTACGTTGCGTCAACGCTTCCGCTTCGGTCTACGAGGGTACGTAGACAACACTCTCCCCTCTCGTTGCTATGCATCACCATGATCTTGCGTGTGCGTAGGATTTTTTTTGAAATTACTATGTTCCCCAACAAAAAATTGTGCTCCTTTTTTCTGTGGTACGATCCATGAGTCCAGGGAACGCAAAGTGAAGTTCAAATTAGTAGGTTCAGAAGGAATCGGAAATTAAAAAGAAGATCCATTTCTTGCTTTTCAAATGCTCCAAATTAATTCTACAAACACAACAAACAGACACTACAGGCCTATCTTTACCAACATAAGTAGGCCACCAGTGTTGAAACGGATAAAACAAGACATTGGTGTTTTTGGGTTACCAAGCGCCCCACATACCACATTCCAAAGAATTCTAGCAAAGGAGCAAGTAAAAAATATATGATTATATTTCTTCATTGATATAGAATTTATAGTGTTCATCCCCTGTCCGCCCTTTCGTACTTAGATTATCCTACCTTTGATCATCAACCATACAAACGCTTTCACTTTCAAGTTATCTTCAGCCTCCGAAGTAACTTAAAGGGAAACACGACATTCTTTGCAATAATATAATGGTAGAGATATTTAAAAGAACAAGAAACCGGCTCGAATAATATCCATTTAACTTTGCGAGGTTCCTCCGTCAAGGAGACCTGACTACACATGTCTACTAAGTCATTCGTTCCACATACTCAAGGTTTCGCCATATAAATATCTACGGAATCTAATGCAATCAAAGTCTTGGGCAAACACTTTAGCAACAGTAACATTTTGACAAAAGTCAAATTATATAAGCGAGGGAATAATGTGCAAAGAGGCTTGTTGCATAACCAAGCATCCTCCCATAATATGGTTTTACAACCACCCACCCACAATTCTCAGCAGAAATAAAAATATCTTTGACAATCTTTAACCCATTCTAAAAATGGGAGTTGCCAGGAGATGCCTCACATTGAGTTAAAGTTATTTCCCCCCACATATTTGGTTCTGATCATCTCCTGCCAATCCGCATCATCAATCTCCAATCTCCACTGCCATTTACAAAGAAGAATAATGTTCCTAAGATCAACGTTGGTAACTCCTAGCCCCCCATGGTCCCTAGCAAGACAAATATATAACCAATTAACCAAGTGGTACATTTTCACTCCATCTTGTTCTTGCCAAACCAAAGGAGCGTGAAAGAAAGTGTAGTCTCTTATCCACACCTTTAGGTAAATAGATGAAAGACAATGAGAGACTTGGAATATTACTCAAACAAGTCTCACAAAGAGTTAAACGAGCCTCCAAGGGAATAGTACATGTGCCAAAAACACCAGCCTTGTCATTACCATTGACAACTCACTCAAGGGCTAGCCGCGTGCTAGTGCTACAAATCTTCTACTGGAAGCTCCCATGTCCACAATTGTTGATGTTCACACAGCCATAGGCGTCCGACTCCGTCGCTAGGGCTGCTTTGTTATGGGAAAATGGTTAGATATGTAATTGTTTTAACTACAACATTGAAGTAAAAGTAGCAAATACCACATTTTCTAGAAAAACTAATTATGCATAATAGCACAAGCTTTCTGCGCAATAACACAATGTCCAAAAAAAGAAATAGCCGCTTCTTTTATATACACACACAGAAAATAGAGAATGCACATGGGTACTTTTGATTTTGCAATAAACAAATGCTTATTATGGCAGAGCCGATGTGTGGACATAAGATGATCCTATGCAGCTAATTGTCTAGCCAAAAATGAAACATTGCACAGAACTCATGAAAATCTCACATAAAAATTATTAAAATGTGAGGTACTTTTTAATGAACTAAGAGGGAACATCATGACGTACTGTTTTCTAATTAGAAACTTTTACATAGGAAACATACCCATGCACTGCAACTGGAGAAGAAAAAGAAAACAGCACATGACACTAACCAAATAAACACACACGACTTCACGTCCTCAATTTCACATGGCACCCCACGTGTGATGTTGCATGCCACCCCTAGCTAGGTAGGCCAGTCGGACATGATATTTTTATGCCAAGATAATCTCCATGTGTTTGTGGGCACGCGATGTAATTGTAATGGATGATAACAGGAGCTAAAATAATGACAAAAATGTGTTTTTATAATATTCTTCTTACTAGAATCTTATGAAAACAAATAAATAATTGATTAGTTGCAAATTATAATTTACTCTGAAAATAGAGAAGCAACTAAATATGAATAATCATGTTTGCCTAAAAAAATAGGTAAACGCTAGTGCTCGGATTTACCTAATTGTCTTCCTCGAGTACGACCGCCGCCGTCCGGCAAAAACACTAACCGGAACGGTGAGGAGTCACTATGACAGCACATGAATGAGCATATGCATCAAACAAATGGATCAACTGGATGAAGCACAGAGCCATGGATTTGCGTGAATAAACATGGATATACATAAGATATATTATCCAATTTCGACACCGAAACCATGGTACAGTTTTTGCAAACAATTATGCACATACACATCTGACCACTGATGCTATCGAAATAAGCCAAACCAGCAGTTAAGCAGCAGTATGTGTGCAGCTGACGAAGTCCCTAATACAATGTTGCTGATTCAACAAATAACAGTTCAAAGACAATGCTACTATCTTTCAGTATATGTACATCACAAAATACAGAATGTCCAATCACTACTAATATATCTCATTACAATCATCTTACAGGGGAGCCCGGCGTTGCGGGAAAAAAAACCACAGAAGAAAGAAAGTGGAATGAACAGAGAAGAAATTACGGCTATATTTTTGCTAGAAGATAACCTGGCCTATATGACTACATTGATCTGGGGAAATCTCTTTACCAAAGATCTTTCTCTCTAATTATCTAGTCTATCATGCTTTTGGAGTCAAAATTAAACAAACTCGCATCTTGATCTGCCTACACTTTATAATTACAGCACCGACTTCGTTATCTACCGTGCAAAGTGAAAGACTTGCGGTTCTTATTCGAGAACCAAAGAGAGATACATGCATATCATGGTATTGAAATATGATAGAGTTGCAATATGTAATATATCACAAACCTTGCAACGTGGAAAATCATACCTCAAAATTCGAATCAATTTGGTAAGCGAATGAATGAATGTGCATAAACCATCTGAATCTGCTGCTATCGATGCGGGTCGGGCTCACAGCCGTAGAAGCTGCAGCCCCTGCTGAACGGAACGATAGCCCCTTCCACTTTGCACCCATTGCACAGATCACAATCACACCATGCAGTAGATGTGCCATTGCAGAGGGGTCATGGGCGTAGATGAGGTCAGGCCTCAGGCATCTGAATTCTGGAACAAAAACGACCCAGCCAGCTGAAGAAAGATTTAATCTGCATGTCGAGGTGCACCAGGACAACAGAGGGGTCATGGGCGTAGATGTGCCATTGCAATTCCGCGTCGTGCCATTGCCACCTGATAATCGAAGAGGAGGAATGCGCTGCTTGGTCCTGAAGAAATCGGCAGGATCTACATTGGCCTTCACCGCCGCAAGCCTCTCAAAGTTATCCTTGAAGTACGCCTCACTCCAAACTCTCGCCTTCTCATAGCTGGTCCCGGCGCCATCACCACCGTACTTGTTCACGCCGAGGTCCAAGTACTTTAGTTCACGTACGTGCCCCTCGGGCTCTTGGACATACGGCTCCATCTCCCAGTGCAGCACCCTGATCTAACCCATATGTTGCTCCGACGCCTCCGTCATGTTGTACCACCAGAAGTTCAGAACTGTACTACAGGTTGTAAAGCATGCACCGGTGCGGGAACGGCCTCGTCGACGGCGCAATGCGGCCTACCCTGCCGCCGAAGGGGTCGAGGATGAGAAGCCCGTCCCCGTCCTCCAGGAACCAGCTCCACGTGCTCTCCCACACGTCCCTCGGGATGGGCTCGTCCATGAAGTCCGACTTGCCCTTGAAGTACCTACCCGGCTTGGTGCCCCTGTCCAGGAGCAGCTCCTCCGGCTTCCCCGTGCAGTAGAACGCGAAGAAGAGGACGGACTCGATCCTGCTCATCTCGATGCTTTCGTGCCGCGTCACGCCCAGCTCCTGGAGCATCTTGGTCATTGTCACGACGATGCCTGCGCACCTGCGAGGTATATGGACTCGAATTGTGCGTCCTGGTTCTACACGACGACCCGGAGGATGATATCGCGGGGCAGAGCCGGCGCTACGTGTTGCCACTTGGTGATGAGATAGCTGGCGGATTCGTTTCTTGGCCGACGGACGATGAACATGGTGACGGTCGCGGACACGCACACGAGTTGGAGCTTCAAGGACAACACGATGCCGAAGCTCCCGCCCCTGCCGCTTGGGATGACCCGTAAGTGGTCCTCCCCCATAGCGGCCCTATCCCGGAGCCTCCCTGTTGGGGATATAATTACAGGATATAACCCGTCCGTTTAGGGCCGGGTCAATGCTGATGGCGACTTACAAGATGGGCCAGGCCAGGTGGGCCGAAGACCTCCAGGAAACTTGCCCAGAAGGATAAGCCGCCCGCTGGATGGGCCGGGCCATGACGTGCCGACAGAAGCCTACTTGCGAACCGTCATTGTATTATTCCTTAGAGGACAAGAAAGACTTGGGCACGGATCATGTTTCTGGCCCGAACTCTAATGTACGCCCCAGGTCTCACCCTATATATAAAGGGGAGCCCCGGGGTCAGAAAGATCAAGTTAGAACCCCTCGATTGCTAGGTTAGCCACACGAAACCCTTGTAATCGAGATCATCAATACAATTCAAGCAGGAGTAGGCTTTTACCTCCACCGAGAGGGGCCGAACCTGGGTAATCCTTGTGTCTCTCGTTTAACCCCTTCGATCTACCACTCGACGCTGATGGCCTCGCGACAAAGTCCTAAGAGGACATCTACCGTGAAAATACCACGACAGTTGGCGCCCGTCGTGGGGCTGTCGCACGGTGGTGTTGAGTATTCGCAGGGTCCTCCTCCAGGACTCGAGGGATACGTCTTCGGCTGGATGACCAAGAGTCTTCGCGGCAATCTCTACATCGACGATTCCGGCTGGGGTCCTAAGGCTGACTCAATCGAGTACGGCTTCCGGGTCCCCTTCGGTGGAATCCATATCTTCATCGGCAAGGCCGACGGGTCTGGATCTGAGCCGGATACCTTCACCGACGTCTTCGAGTCGGCACGACGCGTGCAACCCGCCGCGGCTAGAGTCACTCCGGGACCCGCCGTGCCGCACCAGGCCGGTGGATCTAAACCTGGGCTGGATGTCTTCACCAACACCTTCAAGCCGGCTCAGGACAAGCAACCCGCCCGGCCAAAGCATGTGTTTGTTGGCTTCACCCAAGGGGTTGATTGCTCCGGCGAGTCTGCCTCTGATGGCGATTCGACCTCTCTTACGGCTACACGATTGTTCACTCCGAGGGTGACTCTTATTTGAGCGAGGGCAAGTCAATCTACCCGCTTCATGGTGGCATGCTTGGGGCTACCGGGACGAAGAGCTGATCCAAGACTCCTTCAAGCCGCCTGTCCGATCTGCTGTTTACATGGCAGGGGCGGCTGTCACGACCGATCCGGCAGCGACGGCTGTGGGGACTTCAAACTCTGCACCGATGATATCGCCGGCTCAGGCTCTGGCTGGGTTAGCTACGACTCTTTCTACGCTCCTAGCCACACCGGTAACACCGGAGAATCAGGCGGAACACAACGCAGAGGTGGACAAGATCCATGACCAGATGGTGCAGGTCTAGGCAGACATTGATGCGGAAAACACACGCCTGGCGGCTCGTCAGGCAGAGCTGCAGGTGGAAACAAAACGGATGAGGAACGAAGGCTGGTACTTGGAGCAGCGTCGGAACGCTTCTGAGGCGATTCATGAGCGGAGGCACAGGAGCCGGCTTCCGGCCAACCTCGACCACCAGAATCTACAGTTTAACACCCCTCAGGGAGTACTCTTCGTGGCCCTTCTACGGGATCACCTCAGCCTATGCCAAACATGGGGGCTCGGCCTACGGCGGGTCTTGCCGATCAGCCCCAGCTGGAACCTAATCTGCGCCCTGAGGAGCCCCCTCATCATGTTTTGACGCCTCCGGGTCACTTCTCTAACCCGGTGGATAACCTCTTCGCTGCAACGACCACTTTGGCTGCGCTCCCTATCACCGGCAACTCGCCCGTTGAGATTGAGGCTCGCAACGCCATTGAGAAGCTGAAGACTGCGATGGTTCAACAGGCCAACTACTCATACAGTAGGGAGCGCCTCCACTCCACGCTAGTCCCAAGCCGAACTCGGAGTAGAAGTCGCCACGCTGAGTCGCCGGGGGGCCAGCAGCACCCGCCGGCGCCGTGAGCCGCCTCGAGGCTTACCGTATGCAGGAGTGCCCAATGCTCAGGATATACTCAACTCCGCACAGGCCCACCGGGCGGTCGAAACATCTCAGCAGGCGGCTCAGGAAGCGGCTCGGGCGGCGAACGAGGCGGCTCTAGCTCCGTCAGTCACAACCCAATTGACTCCTACTGGAAGGACTCTTGGGTACCTTGTCTGTCTCCCGCCTTGCGCAATGAACGCATACCCAAAGACTTTGAAGGACCCCAGAAGGTTGTCAATTACACCCCAGATATTGAGCCGGCAGGTTGGATTGAGAGCTACGAGCTGGCTATGGATATGCTGGATGTCAGCGATGCAGTATGCGCTAAATACTTAACCATGATGTTTGAGGGGCCGGCTCGTTCGTGGCTAAAATCTTTGCCCCCCAACTCAATCAATTCATGGACTGAGTTAAAACAGCGCTTCATCAAAAATTTCGAGGGACTTGAAAGACCTAAGACTATCGTCGATCTTCAACACTGCATTCAGCGTGATAATGAGTCGGCCCATCATTGGGTAGGACGGGTGGCAGAGATCATTCACTCTTCAGATAACATCACGGCGGCTCAAGCGGTCCTGATATTGGAGAAAAACTGTCACTTTGATCCCCTCGTCCAGAAGCTCGGGCGGCCTATGCGGAGCATCAAGGACATGGGAGAGCTCATGAATGCCCTCACCAAATATGCAGAGTGTGATTCCACGAAAGACCCTGGCGCAGATGAGGCGCCAGATGGCAAGGGGAAGAAGCCAGTTCAGGGCAATGGTGGCAAGGGCCCTCAGCAGAACAATGGTGGCAACGGTGGAAAGCGCAAAAACCTGAACGGCGGGTCAGAGCTTGTTGCAAACGCTAATGCAGGGCCCAGATATCAGAAAGGAAACAATGGTGGGAAGAACTTCAAGCTGAAGAGCTTTGAGGAACTCCTGAAAGGGCCATGTCCGAAGCATGGCACGAAAGAGAAGCCGGCCGCTCACTCCTGGGAAGATTGCCACATCATGCGAGCTTCTGGAGAGCGTTTCCAGAACCATCAAGGCGACCCAGGAGCTTCAGGTGGTGGCTCATCTGGAGGGTATCCACCTCAGGGCTCATAAAGGCCTGGCGGCTCAGGTGGAGGTTATCAAGGTAACAGTGGAGGCAATCAACAGCAGAGCAATCAGACTGGTTATCAGTCCAACCCTAAGCAATTGAGCAGCGGCCAATACCATGTGTTTACCACGTATACGGATAGACGAGATCATAAGCTCAAGAAGCGCCCTGTCAACTTGGTTGAGCTGGCTATTCCGCAGTATTTAAGGTGGTCAGAGCATCCGATAACCTGGAGCAAGAAGAATCACCCGCCCAGGGTTGATAATCCGGGTCACCTGGCCTTAGTGGTGGCGCCTCAAGTTGGTGGTTACTCTCTCACCAAGGTGCTTATGGATGGAGGAAGCAGCATCAATATTCTCTATTATGACACCCTTCGCCGCATGGGTCTGTCTGAGAAAGACCTTTCGCCATCCACCACTATGTTTCATGGAATTGTTCCGGGTAAATCCGCGTACCCAGTTGGCCGGGTTAAACTGGATGTGGCCTTTGGGTCGGATGACAACTACAGATGTGAATCTCTGTCCTTTGAGGTGGTCAAAATCAAGAGTCCATACCATGCTATCTTTGGACGGCCGGCTTACGCTAAGTTCATGGCTAGGCCCTTCTATATCTACCTCAAGCTCAAGATGCCTGGCCCTCATGGCACCATCACGGTCAATGGTGACAGGAAAACCGCCCTGGAATACGAGGAAGGTGACCCTGCATATGCAGAGGTGGCTTGCGCTATGGAAGAGCTCAAGTATTACACCAGCAACGTGGATCTGGCTGATATGACATCTCTCAAAAAGCCCACCACAGATGCTGACCCACCCCTCAAGTTCCAATCAGCCAAAGACACCAAAGAGGTTGAGTTCACGCATGGTGACTCTTCTGCCAAGTTCACTATTGGGACTGATATGGATCCCAAATAGGAAAGCGCGCTCGTCGAGTTTATTCGTGAGAATCGGGACATCTTTGCATGGAAACCTTCTGACATGTCGGGTGTACTGAGAAAACTCGCCGAGCACCGCCTTAATGTGGATCCTAAGTTCTAGCCAGTTAAGCAATACTCTGTCGTTTTAACGAGGAGAGGCGCAAAGCAATTGGTGAAGAGTTAGCCCAGCTCCTAGCTGCCGGGTTCATCATTGAAGTTTTCCAACCTGAGTGGTTGTCTAACCCAGTGCTTGTTCTCAAGAAGAACGGCTCCTGGCGCATGTGTATTGACTACACAGACCTTAACAAGGCCTATCCAGCAGATCCAT